AATTTATTATTATTTAATTTACTTGCATAATTTTCTGTTGATGTCTTTTCCCATCAATTCACCTTAATGTGACTCAAATTCTTAATAAATGGTATTAAAATTAAAGAGAGAAATTTAAATCCCAACAGCAGATTACACAACCTAGCGCAATGACAATATATTGCATAAAGATGTGAAGAAAAAAAAAAACGACAAAAGACATGAAGTAAGTTTGGGTGCTAAAATTATTAATATATTTTTAATTAATAAATGTGGAGAGTATTTTTATTAAAAATATTAAAGTGATTTAAGTATTCAAACTGTAAAAAATTACATTTATATTGAAAAATACTTGTGTAAACTTAATGAAAGAGTAATAGGATTAATATAATCAGAAGTACACAAAACATTTATACGGTAACAACAATAAAAAATTAAAAACATTTAGTACCATACCTTTTTCCTCGAAATCGATCAATCGGTCTTAACCTTTTTGCATTCAGATTTCGGCACTGTCGTTCTCTCCCTCCCAAAATACTCCTACCAGAAACTGTAGTAACAAAAATACTTATTGTAGATAAAAAACTAACTTTTTTTATATAAACAAAATAATGTTAGATCCTAAAATACAAATTTGAGCCCCGAGAATATATTTTTATTCAAATCGATTGAGTAGGGTCAAATTCCACCTCGAGTTATATAATTTTGTTACATATTATTTTTTCACTATTAATTTAATTAGTTAAATTATTATTTTAATTTAAAAAGTTTAGTTCGTTTTTCTAATAAGATTTCTTATATGTTGCTGCATAGGTAGCACAATATTATAAACCCCATGTGCCTCTAAAAAATCACATTTTAATAAAGTTAAATGCTAAATTTAATCCTCAACTTTACGAAATGCACATTTTTGGTCCCTTAATAATTTTTTGCATTTTTTTGATCCTTTGACTTTAAAAACTGCACAATTTTGATCCCTCCGTCAATTAAGTATGATGTGACAATTAAATAATTTCATGTGACAATAATATATATTATAATTATGTTATAAATAAATGAAAATGCCACATAGATTACTATGTAAAATAAAATTACTATATTACCCTCCCCTCCCAATCCCTCTTCTTCCCTTTCTTTCTCTTTCTTTCCTGCCTTGGGATAGGTTGAGTTCCGTTGAACCCAGCTGTTAGGTTCAGTGGAAACCCAACCTTGCTTGGTTCGTCGGAACCCAACTTTGCTGGGTTCATCGACCAGACAAGGCTGGGTTCGATGGAAACCAGCAGCTGAGTTTATGTTTTTTCATTCTTCTTTATATTTCTAATAAAATAATATATATTTATTACATTTTTAAATGACATATGTTAAAAAAATCCTTATTCAATTGGCTAACTCGTGGTCCGT